GCGCTACAGTAACCCTCTGGCTATGCGATACTTATAGCGCGCAAAAATCGAAATGCCAGTTGGGGATTAGGCGATTTTTCGCCAATATTCTCATGCCTTGTGATCATCTGTGATGAAAGGTCATCAGTCATCTTGTGGCTTTTGTATTTGCCGCCACGCCCATGCACAATTTCACACAAAAGGCTAAAACGCCAGTTGTAGCGGGTTTTGGTTGTTGACGGTAGCTTTGGTTGTTGTGACAAGTGTGGCGGAATTTTAAGCGGACGAAATATTCCTTTGGACTCCTCTGACAGGTTGCCGTTTTACGATATTTTTCCGCTTTAGGTACCGGTAATCCCATTCAAGTTTTGGCCATAGAGGATCAATTGATTTTCCGTCTGCACGCAACGCATACCTGCAGCCTTCCATTACGAAATTGATTTTGTACGTTAGGATTACGGTAGGGCAAAAATTGGCAGGGAAGCTCCCTCCTAACCCGCGCAACGCAAACTAAAGCTCTATTCCCCGGGAGCGCGTCCGCGTGGCGCGCGCGGTCATATCTGGGACCCTAGTTTCCAAAGATTCCGTCCGAATCTTAACTCATCTGTATTTCAAAAAAGACTGATGAAAGGAAATACTTATGAAAACGGTTCATAAACATCGAAACCGAGCTCAAAAATTGGCACCAGAAGTTGCTGGCTTCTTGGATTTTAACATAACGTTTACAGCGCCTCAAAACCCGCGTTCTTCTGCGCCTCCTCAACATTTCTCAAAAGGAACCAATCACAGCGCCAGGAATTTCAGCTTCTCTCCAGTCTGCTTCTCTGTACCCCTGTTCGATCTTTCGATCTGCGTGATTTCTCGGTGATTCCTATGCCGCTGCGTCAGTTGGGAAGACCACCCTTCCATCCATCCTTTCTATCCAGTTCTCGGCTCCGACGCAGGTCATCAAGGACTTTCTATGCGATGCTGGGTGACAATTGGTGTTCCCTGGAACATCAGAAGTGTTCCCTTTGAGGGCTGATATAAAAAAGGCTAGGGGTGGGAGACCAATATGTACTTTTGGAGCTTGTTTGACTTCACATTGCATACAGTTCGAGGTAGAGGTAATGAGAGCCATGAGAGAGAGAGAGAGAGAGAGAGAGAGAGAGAAGACGCGCAAGAGGGAGTCATTTCCACTACGTCAATTTAGCCAGGAAAACCGGAAATCAGCAAAAGTTTCAGCAAACGGCTTAGCGCGTAGCCTGATGCGTTGCGGTTTTGGTCAATTGCTGTATTTTTCATGATGAAAGTCTAGCTTTACAGATACTGAAAAACTCGTTGCACAAGCTTGCAAAGGAACCATTACGGGAAAGTAACGTATCGTTCATTTGTTTTGCAAGCAAGCTCGACCAAAAATTTATAGTAATTTATTAAAGCGATAAATAAATAACTAAATGTTTTGATTGATTAATGGAACGGCCCGAAAAGCTCATAATCCTTGTGATAAATGGCGCGGATGATTTTCAGCGTTCCTTTTGATCGGCGTAGGATAGCGTGCAGATGGTCGCGTTCCTTGGAGTCTGTAGCGTGGGCGGTAGTGCCGGAAGTGATATGGCGTAGAGCCTAGAAAACGGGGGAAATACCGTTTTCACGAAGCGAAAAAAATTACCCTATCGGAGACGTCATCCGGAATTTTTGCTTTCCGGAAAATTTCCTTTAGCTGTGACTTTAGCTTTGCTCCATTATGTGAATGGTAGACAATTTCGTATCCGTCAGCTCTTCCTTTGAGCCCACAGAAGCTAAAAAGACAATTTGTATATGCTTTAATAAATTGTAAGCATACTCCGATTGCGGCACCGCATGCCCTCGAATTGGCTTCACATTGTTAAAGTAGTTATCCACCCCACTGAAGCCGTTATAGACGTCCTGGGCGAATTGCAGGATTCCGCGTCTTCCACAGAGTTCGTTGCGGCTAAAAATGTTTAATTCACATAATAAAAAATTCTAAAAAAGGATTTTGTTAGATCCCTCAATATTAAAAACCTTAAAATCAATAATCCCAAAACCATACGCGCAAAAGTGTGCATACAAAGATACGAATCGATCCACCGGATCTTGGACAATCGTAAACTGGATTGGTCGTAGAGGTTTGGCCCATTTCCGGACCTTGTGCTCCCGGTACATCTTCTTGTGAAGCCAGCAGTCGCTAAAAAATAAGTTTTAACTTATATTTCTAATCTTAAAGGAGTTAAGTCATAATTTATAGATTATTATGTGACATCCCACGCAAGGAAAAGGTAGCCTCGTAAAATAGCGTGGCATTTAAAGAGCACGCTCCGGGAAAAAGCAAAGATGTTCGCCGCCGCCGGGGGTCGAACCCGGCCCCGCTTGGGAGGCGCGGATGGATACCAGTCAGCCACAGCTACAACCTGGCGGGGGCGAGGGGCGCCCCACCCCGGAAAGGGAGGGGGAATGGCCTGTCACAGCACGGGCAGGCAGTGCGCGCGGTACCTACGTCCATAGGGTGTACACGTTGGGACGAGTACACGGCCCCTCCCTGAACGTGCGCTTTAACTCATTTTCTCCACCCTTCAGCGTAGAATTGAGCGTTTGCTCGAATTTGAGACCATGATATTCCTTTTGCATGTCACAGAGTGCGGACAGTAAAATTGTAGAGCCCGTTTTCGGTAGTCGACAATATTTGAGGCCCATCCCGGTGTCATACTGTAATGGGACAATTTTGATATTTCCTCTTAAGGTCTGTTATAAAAACTTACCAAATCCCTGTCATGTTTCCTAAAAGTCATCTTTCCTAAAGTCATCTTTCCTAAAGTCATCTTTCCTAAAAGTCATCTTTCCTAAAAGTCATCTTTCCTAAAGTCATTTTTCCTAAAAGTCATCTTTCCTAAAAGTCATTTTTCCTAAAACTAGGTAATCGTAAATTTTTATTTTTCCTCAATCACTTTTTCTAAAAACCATTTTTTTTCGAAGATTAATTTTTCCTGAAGTTAGGTATGCGAATAGGGATGCCACCTCCGCCTAACTTGAAACCTGCTTCCAGTGTAGAAACGGCAAAATGCCCTGAACGCCGTCAGTCCTCATAAAAGCTCTTAGTCGCATCGGAGCCTATCCTATTTTTTGATTTCTGAATAGTTTTATGAATTCAAAGATAGCATAACTTAAATCAAAACATCCCGAAAAGGTCTAGTACGGCATGGAGACATTAAAATTTTACGGCCCGGGCCTCTCCAAAATAAATTTTTCTTGCAAAAAAACCAACTGAGAAATATTGATTTTTAGGAAAAATGACTTTAGGAAAGATGACTTTAGGAAAGATGACTTTTAGGAAAGATGACTTTTAGGAAAGATGACTTTAGGAAAGATGACTTTAGGAAAGATGACTTTAGGAAAGATGACTTTTAGGAAAGATGACTAAAACCCAAGCTTACCGTACTGCCCACATCCAGCCCAAGGTTAATGTTGTGCACTAAAAGCGGTAAATTCCAAATTTTTCTGACTTACGAGCCCCCTTGAATACCGTAGCCAGAGCAACAAGTGCTGATAGGGGAAAGATCAGCGACAGCATGGTCCGAGCGGCCTACCGTATCCCCCTTGCCTGCCCCCTTATACCGCGCGCTTGGCAAATCGAAATTGGTTAAGCACATGGTCGTAACATGTAGCCGGATGACAAGCCCAGAAAAGGAGCACCACAGTTCAAAAGGTCTTACAAAGCATGATAGAATGGCCGGGGAAAGTGGTGCTGATATAAAGATCGGGCCGGTATGGGGGCTTTATAAGATCTGGACGTTTGTTGGCTAGCGGTTCCAGCGGGTTGGAGCCAAAAAGGAGGCTTTATAAGGCCTGCTGTCGCCTTTTTCCGAGCCCTTTTAAGGTGGCAGCACAAAACTGCACAAATTAAAGCAAGCAGCAATAATTTGTGGTTCGTTGCTAAGGAGTTCGTTGTAATGCTTTTTTTCTCTATGGCACCTCTCATCCTCCATCCCTGTTGGCACCCTCTCTCTTTCTCTCTCTCTCAATCTCTCGCTCTTTTCTCCCTCTCCTTTCTCTTTCTCTCTCTCTCTCTCTCTCTCTCTCTCTCTCTCTCTAGCTTAATTTTTCTTGTTAGCTTACAAGGAGACGTTTTTGATAGACATCCCAGTTTTGAGCATAACCTAGCCTCTCTTGTGCAGAATTTTGCGCTGATTCCGAATCCGTTTTCCAAATTTGCTTAATCGGCATTTTGAAAAAGCTACAGCACATTTTAGGACAAAAATGCTCCAAATCGCAAAGTTTAAGAATACTGTCGACAAACTATTTTCTCTGGAATTTTTACACGACTCTAAACTTTGCGATTTTGAGCATAAAAATGTGCTGTAACTTTTTCAAAATTCCGAGAGAAATTTTGGAAAACAGACTCGGAATCAGCGCAAAATTCTGCACAAAGTTGACTTGGTCATGCTCCAAACTGGGATGTCACTCAAAAACGTCTCCTCGTTAGCTTGTTACGCAGCCAGCCGCGCCCTCTGTCCCTCATTTACCACCCTACTCTCAACCCTCCAAAAGATCAGCACCGACTTTCGATCTCAACCCACCGCGAACCTTTAGAACTTGTCTCATGCTCCCCGCTCCCTGATACGATGACAAAATGATACGATGGAAAGTTCGCGACCTGGCTGCAACATTTTTTCTGTGCTCTGATTGCGGGGTGGCGGAGATCAACGGAAAGTTGAAGAAAATTGGCGAGTAATTGATACAAACTCTAGCTCTCCTGGGAGCTCTTGCTCCCTCTCAATCTCGCTCTCTCGCTCTCACTCTCACTCGAAGAACCATAAAACCACCGGTGCACTTCTCATGCCCCGATTGTTCACATCTAGCCTGGTTCCGCCCAGTACAGGTCAATGGTAAGTAATGACTTAACTAACTGAATTCGATCAGATTTTGCATGGTTGCTTACTCTGTATTTTCTGGACCAAGGAATTAGTAATAAATATTTATTCAAAGCCTAAAAATAAATAGCAAATGGTCAATCCCTAGAATCAATGAAATCGGAAAATCTCATAGTCTTTTCGGTAGATTGCCCGAATGATTTTCAAAGTCTCAGGGGCATTCCGCAGGGCACGGTGCAGATCTTTGGTATCGCCATCATCAGCCGCGTGAGCCGTGGTGGCAAGGGCAATGTGGCGTAGTGCCTGGAAACCGGGCTGTTGGATTCAGTTCCATTTAGTCTTGGTGTTGATAAACATCTGTACACAACGCGTCTTGCCATACCGTAGTAGATGATAACCTATATCAGGGCGGCCGGAGCGATCGGGTGGCTTGTTCCGCGAGCCGCATTTTCCATTATATTCTATACCTGAGAAATTCCTCTTACCTTCTTCATGCTCTCCTTCGGAACCCTCGCTTTCTTCAGCACGCTCATCAGACGTCTCTTGAAAAGTGGCTTGTTGTCTGTATAGCGGATAAGCATCATATCCTGGACACGATCACGCATGTTGCAGTAGCTAAAAGTTCAAAAATCCTTTCCTAGTACTCTCTATACCTCACTCGCTCGCTCTGTTTCTCTCTCTTTATCTCTATCTCTATCTCTCTCTCTCTCTCTCTCTCTCTCTCTCTCTCTCTCTCTGTCTCTCTCGATCACTCGTCTTACTTGCTCTGTGGTACCGTATGACCATGGATCTGTCGTTCCCGGATGTAATTAGTGTTTCCATGAAGGCTATCATAAAGATCTTGCGCGAATCGATGAATTCCGACGTCACCACACTGGTCGAGACGTCTAAAGTAACAGTCTAACGCTGTCGGAGCTATTTTTAAATTTCTTTATGCGATCCATAAGGTTCAAAACTTACAAGCAAAAGTGCTGATACACCGACACGAATCGATCCACGGGCTCGCGAATGATCGTGAATTTTAGCGGCTTGATCGGTTTATGCCATTTCTCCACGCCATGCTCTCGGAAGCGGGTTTTGTGTAGCCAGCAGGGACTGAAGGGGTTGCGGTAGCATCAAATGTTCAAAGGAGTGAGCAAGGCACAGGCCGAGCTATCAACTGATCATTTGGTAAAAGGAGACCTACCGAACCAAGGCTGCTTTTCACTTTTTGGGTGATTCTAATAGCGGGAATCTCAGGGTTTCAAGTTCATTTTTATTTTCCAAAGCCTTAAAAAGCTGCTATGCGACTAAACATTAGCTGTTACGTAATTAGCGCGGCGTACTGGCCGATACGCATTGGTGGATGTGTAAACGTACTTATCAATCCCCTTGATCGTGTTGTTTAGCCGCTGCTTGTATTTGATGCCCCGGAAATCACGCTGAACATCGCATAACATTGCCAAGGTGATTGTTGAGCCTGTTTTTGGGATGCGACAATATTGGAGGCCAAAACCGGTGTCGATCTGTAAGAAAATTTATGACTTCTCCGGATTCGAAAATAAAGCGGCTCACTTTGTTGTGCTTGTTAGGCTTTTGCAAAAACTAGCAAGCTATTTGATCCTTGCTCTCTCTCTCTCTCTCTCTCTCTCTCTCTCTCTCAACAAAAAGCAGAGGCTTCAACAAAGCAAGTAACACAAAATTGGTTTGCCACCCACAATATCATTGATATTTCGATCCAAATCGACGTCTTGTACTGAAAAATATAGGTTGGTAATTTCGCAAAATTAGGCAAGCTATGGAAAACCACAACTCACATGTTACGCACAGCGGAATCACAGCCAGAATGACCGCAAAGGACAGCCACATAATTACTGTAGCACCGTCAACTTTCCGTTGACTCTGCCGTAATGAGGAGCGTGTCGTAATTAGGGGAGGAGACGGTAGCGGTAGAAGTGATTCAGAGCGGGTTGACCCCGGTTCCTTTGCCTACATACAGACTGTGTGCCCTTCCCGCCTTTCGTGATAACAATTGGATCGAAAATTTCCGCAGGCACACGCCTTTGCCGGCTCGACGCTCTTTCGAACGCGCCGAGCGCGCGGCGCTGAGACCGGCCGTTCTATCCTCTTTACGTGCCCGGAGGATGTCAACAGTTGATAAGAAGTGTAATAAGTATGGTGTAGCTGCGGATGGGGTAGCTTTTACAGTCTTGCTACGCTGTAGGAAGTGGTTTTGTTGGTGTTGGGCGAAAAACGGTTTGGGAGTTTTACCCTGGGGAATCGACCCTCCTTTTTCCGATGGAGTTTTCATAATTGCGATAAAATGCAAGTTTACAAATTACAAAGTTAAAGCCGGTTTGGTTCTGTTGTATTGATAGAGCATCAAAAATAGCAAGCTGGTTTTCGATATTTTCGCTGGTTTTTTGATATCTTGAAGACACGATTCGATAGATCATCAAAAAATATACGGAGTGTTTTAATTTCATCTCAAAATAGCCTAATATAAAATGTTATAGGAAAAACAAGGCGTAAACATGGTTTCTTATGTAGCGTAGAGCCGAAAGCTAGTTTTTCGACATATGTAGAGGCGTTAAAAATTTTGGTAATACTATCGAAAATGCCGAAATTAACTTCCCGCCCCGAAAAACTCGTGTAAAATACCTCGTGAAAAGTTGTGTTTGAAGTTGTACGTAAAACTCCAGTATATTTTTCGGTGCCCTGAAGGATGGCCTTTTCAGATGCCAAAAAAAGCAAAACGCTTGCCAACCAGGTGACCAAACATATTTTCAAAACTTATTTTTTATTTGAATATTACTAAAAACTCATTATGACCAACTGTGAGTCTCTAAAATAGTATAATTTGGCAGGCAACCGAACTGTTTGCCGGAAATTTTTCAGGCTGAGGTGTGAATTAACGATTTATCATAACCTAAAACAAGCAAAAAAATGTAAAGAAGCTAAAAACCGTTTATGGTGTGCACCCGTCTTCGACCCGAAAGTGGCTTTGTGTTGCGTAGTGGATGTTCATCCGCTGGTTGCCGGAGGTGGAATAGTATTCTCCGTGTGCGTTGACGCACTCGATGCCAGGGTTCTTGGGGAACTGCAAAAAGGCGGATAGAATCCAGAATATCGAGCGTAAAAAAGGCGTCTAGAGCATATAAAATTGTAGAATCACTGACATTGCATCGCTCCGGCCCTGGGCACGTCATTTTCTCAGGTTTGCTGTTGAAATAGTGCCTGAAAAAACCATCAAAAAAACGTTTGAATGATTTTAATACCGAAAAATGGCGTATAATCCATTTCTAAAAGTCTTGAAAAATAAACGGTTGGCATTTGACGTTTAACAAAAAGGCAAAAGGTAAGGAAAGACGCTAAATTGGTAGAACAATCCGGATAGCATCAATAAACTATAAAAACCCAGTTGAAACGATACTAACTATTCGAGCGAATCTTTTTACCCCTAATAATAACACCTGGAAGGGCTACACTTTACTTGACCCCCACCCCCCGCCCACCCGAAATGTTTTGGCTATAACTTTTTTATTTTTGATTATTGTAGGCTGAAATTAAAACTCTTAGTATATTTTTCGAAGCTCTATCGAGTGCCGTTGCAAAAATTTCGACATAATAAGCGAAAATACCGAAAACTTTGAGACCATTCGGCTGTGACGGAGGGGGGGGGGTAGAGTAAAGTCTTACCCCTAGAAGCTTTGATTTCAATACCTTCAAAACAACATCCCGAAAACCCCGAAAACCTACTGAAAATAGTTTTCGTGAAAACAACTGGTCAGCAACTTCTGGTAGAACTGATCCTGCGGCATCCGCGACCAGATAGCCCGGATCTCCGGGTTTTTGAACATCCGCTTCAGGTCGGCCTGAAAACGCAATAATGAGGAGTGACTTGATTGAATGAAACCTGTAGCCAATTCGCATCCTCGGCCGGTAGAAAGTCTGGTTTCCGCAACATTCCGCCCTTACGGCTGAAGAGTTGCGGGATGCCCTGAAGTGTGGAAAGGTTGCAAAGAAAAAGGAAAGGAAAAAAGTAAAAGCAACTTCGCTAAGCAATTTCCACGACATTTTCAGCTGTAACTGTTCTCTGTAACCCACCTGGCTACTAGTAAATGGGTATTCTTCCAAGGGTTTCAGACGCGCGACGAAATTCTCCTCGCTCGAAACATCATACCTGAAGCCATAAGACACAATCATTACTAGTTGTCCGCTAAAGTACCGCTTCATGTCTTCGAGCACCGAAAACGGAAAGTGCACCCAGGTGAAATTAATATTCTTCGGCTGAACGACGAATCGTCCGGCCTCCATGCTGGGCAGAACATCTCTAAAGTTTTCTGAATATTGAGCTCCAAAACTATACACGATCCCGGTGTACATTTGAGACATCGTGAAATCGTCCATCATTATTTCTAAAAACTAGGTTTCAAAAAGGACTACGTTTCCCTACGTCTAGCTGCCTGGTCGGCTTCTTTGACGTAGTGCAAATAGGAGGTCATCGGGTTTTCGAAGAAATAGTGCGAGTATTCCTCTGAAAGGGGCAACAAACATCAATATTTTTGTTTTTTTTGCATATTCTGTAATTCCGTAAATTGCTAAAACCTACCAAAATATGTCTTGCCGATCCTCGGAATTTGCACATCATCAAGGTCCATGAAGGAGATAAATTCCGCAGACTCCTAAATGACAAAACAACAATAAAACATCCTAAGCCGCCGAATATTAAAAATAATAAGGATCTCAATGCAGGAAAAGAAACCATATAAAATACTATATTTTGGACGTAAGGATGCTTACTTTATATTGCAGCAAACAATCCGTGTATGCGGCTGCTTGGTTTCGGAATTCGACATGAAGGTTAGGGTTGAAAAAGGCCTCGTGAACCTGATAAAAATAAATTTTGAAGAACAAAATTATTTCCGAACCGTTTTCAACTTAACCCGCATCCAAGGGTCTATTTGAAGATAGCCCTCTCTTTCGTAGATCTGGAAAACGTTACCCTTGATTAATTAGTGAAATAACAGCACCTTTAGCATCTCGAAAAGCGGGTGAATCATGCTTCTAACGTAGAGTTGTAAAAACGAGCCGTACCTGAAGGTATGGTTTTCATTATTTTTGGGGTACACATAGGATAACGGGGGGGGAAAAAAATAACGGGGGGGCACTCAAACTTTTTATATGATAAAAGTATTTTTAAATAAGCTTTTTTCGGGCTGTAAAAAAAACTCTTAGTATATTTTTCGGTCCTCTATCGAATGGCATTTTCAAAATTTCGAAAATATTCAAAACGCCGAAAATTTTTTCCCCCCCTGTTATCCTATGTGCTGCCCATAGTTTTCAAAAATAGTTTTTAGGCTATAAAACTCTTATAATACATTTTTTCGCGTTGTAAAAAATCTCTTAGTATATTTTTTGATGTTCTATCGATTCGCGTTTTCAAAATATCGAAAATCTTAAAAATTTGGCTTTCCCCCCCCGTTATCCTATGTGCTGCCCATAGATTTGGATCAATTTTTGTTTATTCGATAAAAAATTTCATTTACATTATTTCGGGCTGAAATTAATTTTCCTAGGGCAGTTTTCGACGCTTTATCGAATGACGTTTTCAAAATACCGAAAATGTCCAAAATTTCGAAAATTTGACTTTCCCCCCCCGTTATCCTATGTGCTGCCCATAGATTTTCCTCAATTTTTGTTTATTCAATAAAAAATTTCTATTACATTATTTCGAGCTGAAATTAATTCTCTTAGTATATTTTTCGACGCTCTATCGAATGGCACTCGCAAAATCCCTCAGTCATTGCAAATTTCATAATAATGAGTGCCCCCCCGTTATTTTATTCCCCCCCCGTTATCCTATGTGTACCATTTTTGGGATACCGCACCTTCGATAAAGATGGGCCGCAAAAAGGGCATATTGCCATTGTTCATTTGCATAAAGGGGTGCGATGCAGGTGACGACGCCGTGTTTTCGGTAGCTAGGGATACGGTAGGGGATCTGCAAGCAACAAATTAGACTAGCTTGGTGAAGGGATTCGGTTGTGCTCAAACTTCCAAGGAGACGTTTTGAGTGACGTCTCAGTTTTGAGCCTATCTTGTCTTGTGCTGAATTTTGCGCTGATTCCGAACCCGGTTTCCAAATTTGCTTAATCGGCATTTTGAAAAAGCTACAGCGCATTTTACGGCGAAAATGCTCCAAATCGCAAGGTTTATTCTCCAGGCAAAATTCGAGAGAAAGTATTCGGCCAAAAATAGTTAGCACATCCGGTGCCGAAGCAGATGCTCTTTCGAATGAGCTATCAAACGCGAATTTCGGAATCCTTCCGGAAAAACCATTTTTAACGCGATGTGATTTTGAGGCAAGTTTGATAAAATTTCCAAAAACTGAGGTTGAGGCTTCGGCTTAGGCGACGTTGTATTCTTACTAGCTTACCATTTCATATCGATCACCTAGTCCCACAGCGAGCTGCGTCATATTCGGAAGCGTAGTGCCCACAATTTCAAAGGATATCCATTTGCAAACATTGTGAGGGATCATCCTAAAGCAAATCCATTAAAAGGCAAAGAAAACATCGAAAATATTATAATTTCAAAAAGCTTTTGAGTACAGAAATCACTTTTAGAATAGGATTTTTCAATTAATAGGATGAATTTTAGTTTAAAAATTTGCACAATACAATTTTCGCCAACCTGTCGTAAAAGGGATAGTCATATGAGTTATGCCCGGTGCTGTTCCATCCCAGGATTTGTAGCCGCTTCAATTCTTGTGAATTTACATGAGCCGTGACAACTAGCGCGACAGCGTTTGGCCCAAGGCTAAATAAAAACAAGGTATTCTATCCTAAAAAATGCGCAACAATTTT